AGCCAAATTTGCTTGCAAATTTTTTTAAAATTTAAATTTTTTTAATAAAATTTTAAATATTAATTTTAGCTATATATTTTTTAAATAAATTATTTATTTTGAGATTTGTTTTATTAACTTTGTGAAATAGAGACCTGATTCATTAACTCTTCCTACAATCACTAGTGTTTGTAGTCGATTCTTATTTATCAACTTGACTAAATTGATATTTAAAATTTGGCTTAGCCAGCTAAGTTAGAGTCAATAAATATTTTTTACCTTCAGAATTTATTAGTGATTTCATCAAATTTTTGTCATAACCTTATGTTTATTAATTTTCTTTTCAGATTTTCTCGACTCTTACTCTTAGTGCTATATACTAAAAGAGGTAATATATCAAATTTGATTGGTACTTAATATAATCTAACATAAAGTCAACTAAGTCAATTTTTTGGAAAATTGGCTGACTAAGCTAGCTAAGTTGATAAAAATTGACTATGCGAAATTGACTACAAACACTATTTTCACTATAGTAATTTGCTATTTCTACCATGGTTATGAGATTTTCTATTTTTAGATAATAATATAAAAATACCTATAACCCTAACTTTAGTTTTAAATTTTAATATTACTCTAACCCTAACCCTAAAACTAATAAATAAACCTTTCTTCCAGCTCTAAGAAAAGTTGTAGAGAAGATTTTTCTGGTTCTAATAGTGGTTAAATCATTAAAATCAGCTTGGTGAATCCCAAGATATTTGGGGTTAAAGGCGTGAACATAAAGATTTACAAATTTATTGTTACAGTATTATAAACTATAATACTTTATAAGTGTGGTGACAGCATTGGTAAACATTGATTTTATTGGTTAAAAAAAATGATCAATATTTATATGAATCAACTGTAAATTTACAATACATTATCTAAGTAAATCTATTCGTTACAAGAAAAAAAATTTTTATCAGTAAGAAAACTAAAAAGTGATACATATATACAATTTGCGTGTTATTTTGTCGATTTATTAAATGTCATCTAGTCGGATCTAATGGATAAGGATTCTAAATGAGAAGGTAAGAAGTTGTTAGGTTTTAAGTATTTATAGTGTGGGAATAGAAGTTTAACGAACTTCCACCAATACTAATACATAACTTCATTGGCTTAATATATAGCGGTCAGACTTAAGTCAGATAAAGAGACAACCAAAAGTCAGTAATTGCATAGTATAAGTATTTACTTTTTAAGTTAATAAATTTATTTTGTTTAGATTTATTACCAAGTACTAACATGATTTATTTCGTTTAAAAGGGCCATATATACTTTTTGAATTCTATCTAATTCTATTTCTTCTGTAGTCGAATAATCCTGATCCTCCTCTTGAGCTTCTACGCCATTATTTATATCTTCTTTTTCTTCAGCAGTTAAGACATTTAGTCTTTTTTCTAGTCTATTTACTAAAAATTTCACATTGTTATATATTTCGCACTTGTAATATTCTTCACAAGAATAACAACTAAATTCTATTTTTTGATAGCATTGAAAATGGTACCCATGGCTGCAGATCAGTATTTCACCATCTCTAAGATTTTGATGACAATAATTACAAACATCTGATCAAGAAGGTATACTAGTACTATATGCTGTGAAAGGCATTTTGCATTAATTGTCTCTTCTAAAGTAATTAATCTATATAGATTCTTTTTATGCTTATTTGTTCCATATAGTTTACTTTTTCCACGATTTTTAAAGAGTTTGCAAAAGTGTTCTAATAAGAATAAAGCCGTTCTTTCTGTAAGAAAATCTAACTCACGTGGCTTATACGGGTACTGTCATGTTTTTTCAAATATGTTTTTAAGTTTATAATGAGCTTGTGCATCTAATAATATTATTAATTATTTTATTAGTTTATTAGAAAAAAAAAAAAAAAAACTTACCAATTACATAAGCCTGCTTAATTATATTACTAACACTACTAGTTGCAAAAGTATGTGATCATATCTTACTATATATGTTTTTGACATAGTAATCATTAAAATTTACTAAAAATAATTTTATAGCCTTAGCAAAAGGATGGTTAGTATCTTGTCAATAAAAGATATCAGATAAAAATACTAAGAGCACTTTATTATAATTGTGCTGATTTTATCTAAGAGCAAATATCCAGAACTGAAAGACAGTTTCTACATATTCGTCAAATGAACCAGACTGGAAAAGGATAGCATAAATGTCTAGAGCTGTTGGAATCACGTTATCTAGCAAATCAATAACCATACAATATTCGATATTTTTACAGCAACTGAATTTTGCAGTAATTAAGTTTCGGATTTTACACCATCTATTATAAGTGAGGTCAAGAAGTAAATTAATCCTTCACGGCTTTGGTTTTTTAGCAAGCTTTTTTTTTTTACCAAATACAAAGTGAAATATTTTTTCAAAAAAAGAATAATAAGTTATTAACACTTGCTCTTTACTATTTAAGGAGATATGAAGAGGCCCAATAATCAGGATTAAAGAATTAATCTCGGGTGGTATATGATATTGTGAATTCGCTTTATGCAAATTTGTTATTGCTTTGCGAATAAACAACTGTCCCGGCCAATCCGCCACTATCAGGGCAACTCTATTAGCTAAGTGTTTAATATTATTATTAATATTTAAAATAATTTGAAGTGCCTCTATATAATTCTTCATAGAATGCAGATTTCCTTTTTTAATCCCAACTAATCTTATGCCTTCCATTGACCTTTTTTTTTTTTTCTCTGAAATTTCATTATCATATATATGAATCATAAATAATTCAGTTCTATTAAAGTTATTGATATTTAGATTATTATACTTAAGCTACTGATTCTTACGATTTGTGTAAGCAATATCGAATATTCCACAGTACTGATGAATTAACTAAAAACAGATATTACTTGTATCAATATTCATTGGATTATGAATTGATATGTCATTGAAGACCAGAGGAACTGGTGTACAGGCTGATACTTGTTTGCAAACACAAGTTGCTATATGTTTTGCGTCAGATAAGTATACAGAATCTGGCCTTCTTTTTTCATAGATGTTATGATAATCATCCAAATTATAAACGTACAGATTATTATCCTATATACGAAACCATTTAATTTAGTTACTTTATTTATTAATTAGTATTACGGTATGAAAATGTTTGTAGTTTGATATTTGGTTTATTATGAATTTATTTATTAATTGTGCTAATTTAATTTTTTTATTTTTGAAGATATTTTTGAGCCATGCTAAAAGAAAAATTGTGTATTTTAAATTTTTACTAATTTCGCCAATAGAAATTAGTAAAAATTCAAGAATGCACAATTTTTCTCTTAGCATTCAATGAGAGCAAATATATTATTGACGTTTTTAATACTTATTATATACTTATCTGTTCAGAGAAATATTCTTTTATTTTTTTAGGATGTTCATTTACGATCCTATGCATATAATTATTAGCAGTCTGATAACAACAAGAGACCTCGATACTGTGCATGGTGTCAATTGCAATGCGTGATGTTCCCGATGCCAAAAGATATAGACCGACTTCCAACTTGAAGTCATTTACAAATTTATTTCTAATTCCTGCCATTAGATAGCACAAGTTTACAATAGTTTTTTTTGTCTCGACTTTGTTGTAAATAGATCTAGTATCAGGAATTAGCATTTCTACCATTTGATTAAAGAAGCCTTCTAAACGTGGGTCTGCTGCTTCAATCATTTGTTGAAAACAAGCTGGATCAAGTTCTAAGCTATTAGATTCATGACGCTTTTTATATAGAAGAGTTGTAAGCATTTTGAATTGCTCAACAAATGTATAATTTGTTAATTTTAATAAAATATAGATTAAAAAAAAAAAAGTAACGAAGTGAGTGCTGATCACGTGTTTGATACACTGCTAATTACCGGTAGTAGTGACAGAAATGATTCTTAGTCCTGTGAATTACAGGATCAAGAATCGTTCCTGTCACTACTAATACCTACTTAACGATTAAGTATTGAAGCTTTCCAATAATATTATTATATTAGTGATATATTAGTATTTTTAAATTTTTACTAAGTAACTCTGTGTAACTTCTAATTGTAGTACAAATCTGATTCCACCAATGGAATCCTTGATATTGATTTCCTTAG